TTACGCATGTATTGTATAATTTTTCAAACTTTTTGAAGAATTTAGAAGATACTTTTGTTTGTAAAGGAACTATTTATTATATGTTGCATATATATATATACCGGTACACGATAAACTACTTTACAACTACATATTATACAATAATTCTTGTATCAATATGCACACACAAAGTCTGGTTATCCGTGATAACTTTAGTACAATATTTAAAACTCAGGCGGGTAGTAGTAGTCTATTTCCTCATCAGTAGGAAGAGTAAAATTAGCTGGGTCCACTACATTTATATCTATCAAAGGCAACCCATGTTCCTCTCTGTAACGAAGTTGTAAATATGCCTCGCGTTGAGCCCAGTCTGTTAAATGTACATCTGGTAAGTAGCACATTATAAATGCTCCGCCTACTAGGCAAACGCTAACGCATACAAACATTGTAAAATGCAGATAGATTTTATCATCCTTCTCGTTTTCGTAGTCGAACCCATAGCTGACCCATGTTTTTTTCACACTAACTTCTCGATTTGTCGAATCGTCGTTTTTTTTAGGCGTTGCTGACACGAAGCGTTGTATTACATTATGTGGTTTCAAGTTTTTGGGTTTTGCTAATAAGGAAAGTTGATTCATGGTTCTTTGAGGACGAGCCATTCGTAGTAGAGACAACATTTTTCAAAATGTTTATCGCACAATGGTATATCGACAATGTAGATTCGTATATATGTTGTTCGTTAATTATAACCAGCCGTCGATATAAAGTAATAACTTCAGTAACAAAAATTAGACAACTGCGTAATGAGAGCAGGTTACGAACGATCTGAGTGCACTACTTGCTGACTGCACTATTGTTCATGAAGAAAATGTGTGAGGGCGCTGTAACACCACCTTTTCGTCACCAATTATGTATTACATGCGTACATACATGTGTACAAAATTGCAATTATCTACATATATATTAGAACAAAATTGTGAAGCTTCATGCACTTACGGTATAAATTACGGAATATATTAATAACGATTAATAATGTCTCTCTCTCTCTCTTTATTCTAATTTATCTTTACCTCATTGGATTTTTTAATCCAGTGTAAGAATTTCTTTCTTATATTCCGGCAATTATAAAATTACGTATGGGAAATAATAATTTTTATTATAA